ATTAGTTTCCTATACTTCTTTTTTTCCAAGAATATATACTGAAAATGACATTATAAATACCTAACCTGGAATCAGATAAGTAAATAAACTTGTTGTGTTTTTGTTTAACGCTTTATCAGCCGGAGGGGGCATGAGGGCTCTATCCTGTTGGGAATAGAGGTTTGGATTCCTAACACTATAAAATCCCTTTACTTTATTAAACTGTACAAAAAAAACCCCCATAGTTTTTAGCACTTTTAAGAATTAACAAAGTCTGTTAAATTCCTCTGTTTAGCCTTTATAGGTGTGTATGTGTTTGAAAAAGTACTTCTGATAATTGTTTTGAGGGCACTCAACTATGAAGTAATTTTATCTTGGATTGCAGTCACCAATATATGCAAGGTGGGGATTATAATCAATGCTATTCACTGGGAGCCACTAGAAGGCTCCTTTAAATGTGAGTAATTCTGTATCTACTCATCAAACTTGTTTTATTAGACATACTAATTGGTGTCTATTCTGTTTGTCTTTCATACATCCCAGACCAACCTTTACTAGACCAGGAGATATAGCACACATCCTCAGGCATGGATTATACCGCCCAGGGGCACATAAGTACAGATAAATTATAGGTCTATACACTGTAACTGTATCTCCTTTGATATTTACCATCAGTACCTAACATCACAGGCGTAACTAGAAACCACAGGGCCCCGGTGCAAAAATTGCCCTGGGGTCCCCCCCATATGTCAACCCCCCCACACATGCAGACAAACAGGTACATATGCAGACACACAATACAGGTACACATACCTACAGACACACACATACATACAAACACACACACACAAATACACACCCTCCTGTTTCCTACCTTCTAGGTGCAGGATGGTGACTTTCCATGGGGTCCAGTGGCTCAGCCAGATGGGAGTCAGAGTTCTCACTCTGACGCCCTTCTGTACTTCCTCCCGCGCGGCTCCCGGTGTAAGCTGGGAGGAGTGACCTGGGCTGTCACTTCCTCCCAGCTCTGATGTCATCTCAGGGGGCGCCGGAGCACTGACCGGGCCCCCTGGAAATTCATAGCCATCAGGTGGCCCTAACAGCATGGGCCACTTCAAAGCAGCCTCGGCAGTTATATCGCGAGGGCCGGCAGACACCGTGGCCGCAGGAGTCTGCATGGTGGCCGGGTCCCCTGGAGTGACACGCCCGGTTGCAGCTGTGACCCTTGTGACAGCGGTAGTTCCGCCATTGCCTACCAAACTACAGTATATACTTCTCCGGTGTCTCTTTCTCTCGTTGCATATTGCCTAAACCTGAGGACAACCCAAGGTGCCACTATGCATGTATTTGAACATTTGTCTGTGCAAGTCTCAATAAAATATCATGAGTAAAAGAGAGCCTTGGGAGTCTTTGGCAGCATATAAACCCTAAAATTGGTTTCTTTGTGTTGCTTTTGGTTGTGTAAATTCTCGTTTACTGCGCTAAACTTTTTATTTAATTTATTTATTTTTTTAGCAGTTTTGGTTTGGCGACCATTGTTAAACCTAAAGCCGCAGCACATATTACATTTTGAAAAGGTTTACATTTGAAACACAAGTGCTATACATAATATGTCACTTGTAACTTAAAAAAAAAAAAAAAAGAGATGATGCTAAAAAGAGATAATTACATATTCAAAATAATACAAACAAATGATGCCCATTATTATAAGCAGGGAAAAACTTTATTTCTCCTTAGACTATTAAACACATATACAGGGTAATTATAACATTGAATATTCTGATTTTCAACAACAACAAAAAAAAATAAATAGCCAGGCCTTTTTCAAAATAAAAAATATCTACAGAATATGATAAGACAGCCTCCTTGGGAATATAATTCCATACCTATCTTTATTGTTTTTCTGTAAACAATCTTTTCTCTGCTGGAAAATGTTTTTAAAAAGAAAAAATAATAGTTATGCGTGCAGACCTCAAAGGCATTAGTGTCACAAACTTACCTGTGCCTGGTGCCTGCGCCACTCCCCTCCTTGGGCAATGGGGAAGAACACTCCACGTAGCTGGCTTTACTACAATTCTCAGGCTGCACAGTCCGAATGCTCCACATGGCCGCACGACTTGAAAAGAAATTACTCACCTTTGGTCCTGCATATTGCTCCATCTGCTGGTTTGCGGGCCAAACTGCAGCCCCTGTAAATAAAACATTTGCCATGATGTCGCCCCTAAAGGGACCACATCATCTAGACGACCCAATGCTCTTTGGGGTCGCAGAGATGATGTGGACCAATGGGAACTCTTTGAGCCTATTTAAGGCTTGTTTTAGCCTCCATTTATTGCCCTATCATGGTTTCTGTATAGTTCCTCGCTTTGTGCTCCTAGTGATTCCCTTGTGATTTTCTGTGTTTGACCTCGGCTTCGTATAGACCTCATGATTTCTGGTATCCTGACCCGGCTTTGTATTGACCTCGTGATTCCTGGTATCCTGGCCTGGCTTCATATTTGTCTTCGTGATTTTCTGCTATCCTGACCCGGCTTCGTCTCGACTGAGTATTTCTGTAATCCTGACCTTGATTTATCTTGACCTTATTTCTTGCTGTATTAATACACTAAACCCGCCCATTCTAAGGCTTGGTAATACATCTTTCGGATCCACCATTTGTGGGTTCCCACTTTCCTGCGTGTTGGGTTAAGACTCCCGTGACAATAAGTACCGCATTCTAGTATTTTGCAAGTAAAGTTTAAATAGTAATTTTCTCTTGGTGCACAACCTAATGGAATGTGCTGCGCAAATCTATAACTATCACTACAAAGATACTTGCACCTAATAATCCTAAATAAGATAAAAATTAATTCTTTCTTAACTCCTTACCCAGTGGCATTATGGAAAGATATTTTCCCCTGAATTTACTGGCAATGGTGATCTCCTGCCACAGATTCCACCCATTCTTGGAGTTGACATGATGAGCAGCGGCTGGTGGGTGGTGACTGACCTGGCAAACAAAAGAAAATAATTTTAAAGCACTGGAGAAGAACTAGATCCATTTTATACTGTTCTTCAGTGAAAGAACAGATAGAAGCTGACTTGTATATATCTGTATAGAAAGTCATGGTAAAAAGAAAGTACACCCTCTTAGAATTCTATGGTTTTACAGATCAGGACATAACAATAATCTGTTACTTAGCAGGTCTAAAAAGTAGATAAATAAAACCTAAGATGAACAATAACACGTCACGTTACACCAGGTCATGATTTAACAAAATTAAAGCCAAAATCGAGTAGACAAGTGAAAAACGTAGTACACCGTTACTGCTTCCATAGGAATTAAGAGTCTAAGTATCAGACAGATGCTGCTAATCACATGTCCTTGATTAACTGACCATCAGCAAGTGTGCTCACCTCTATAAAACCCAAATATTTAGCAGTTTGCTGGTCTGGAGCATTTAGGTGCCAAGGAGAAAAGACATCAGCAATGATGTTAGATAAGCAACTGCTGCTCAGAAACTGAAATGTGTTATTAGTGATGTCATTTTGTGAATTGTTTGCATAAATGGAGAAGCCCTTTGAGACCAGTGTGGTCCACATAAAGAAACATGTGGGTGTGTGCTGTAACTATACTCTGTTAATTTCCATGTTTACCTGACATATTAGACGTCTGACTCCAGTCTGATTGGCTGTGCTATTAGGCAGCTGAATGCAAATGTAATTAGCAGATATACAAGCTGAAGATCTGCAAAGTGTGATAATCAAACCAATTGACTGCTTTAGGCCTGAATATATGATTTGATTTGCTTAAAATAACTGACATTACCAAAAAGCATATGCTGAATAATATCAGACTGATAACTTGAACTATATACAGATAGTTCTGCATCCTGGATGGAATTGGTCCATCTGTGCTGTGTTTTGCTCTGCCTAGTCCTCTCACTGGGTTATCAGTTTTAGCTCTGGAATTCAGCATCACACTTAGAGACAGAAAGGGCTATTCTTATGAACCCCTACACTCTTGTTAACCATAAAGAGTGATTGGGTTGCAGCACTGTAAAATGGCGACCTAATGCAAAAACAAATACAAACACCCAGAAAGAAGCCCTGTATTCAAACTTTCATTACTCTCGGGCAGCAGCAATGACAAAATAAAACAAGTTACCTCTGTACTACCCGAAATCCTCTTGCATATTTAAATAACGGGAGGTTTTCAGTACCATTTCAATGACAATTAGTGCAGGTCTAAGAGGTTTGCTTTGATGTGGCAGGTGAACTAACACTTTAAAGGGATACTGTAGGCACCCACACCACTTCAGCTCATTGAAGTGGTCTGGGTGCAGTGTCCCTTTTGGACCTAGTGTTGCAATGTTAAACATTGCAGTTCCAGAGAAACTGCAATGTTTACATTGCAGCACTAAGTCAGCCTCCAGTGGCTGTCTTCCATACAGCCACTAGAGGGCTTCCGGTATCTGATGCTGGAGGTCCTCATGTTCTGCATGAGAACCTCGAGCGTCAGATTTTTCCCCATAGGAAAGCATTGATTCAATGCTTTCTTATGGGGAGGTCTAATACACGCGCAGCATTTGCGGTGCGAATGCGCGAGAAGGCAGAGCATTGGCAATGGGATGAGGTAAGTAAATAAAGGGGTTTTTGTACCTGTTCACATATAGACCTGTATCCAAAATCCTCTAGCCGGTCAAGTTCAAATGTTTCCCCTAACAATGGATTGAATGGTTTTGCTGTCCGGTGAACTGTGGTGGAATAGGAAGACACAGAGAAAGCTGCCACAAAACACATCTGCTCAATGGAATTCTCACATTTCGCTGCTTTGTCCAGCAGCTCGTGGTACTCCAGGTCTTCAGTGAGCCTCTGGAGCATGGAGAGCGGCTCATTGAAATTCACCTGCAAAGACAAACACACAAAACATCTACAGATGGGTGTTCAGGTTACTGAAATATATCTTTTATAGAAAATGTAAAGTAGCACAGGCATTTTGGAACTGCTTTTCATCATTTACACCAGGGATAGGCAACCTTCGGCACTCCAGATGTTTAGGACTACATCCCCCATAATGCTGGCAAAGCTTCATGGGAGGTGTAGTCCAAAACATCTGGAGTGCCGAAGGTTGCATATGCATGATTTACACCACTGGTGACCATTACAGATTAAATTTCTATGCAGAAAGTACATTTGGCGTCAGCAGATCAGAATCTGACTACCCCCCATGCTTTCCACTGAGCAGGAAAGAGAAAAGTGTTCTTTCAATTTAGTATATTTCCCCTAAAAGGAAACATGCGTGTCATTTTTATCTGCATGTTTAATTTGGGAGTATATGCAAACAGTTTGCATAAGCTGCAGATCTGATATCTGCATCCTCTGCAAGCCCAGCACAGTCTATCAGTTTGTACCAAAGAATACTCCAATCAGAGACTTCCCATTGAGAAGACTCTGTGCCGGAGCAATGAGCATGGGAGCCTACGTGATTGTGGCTTTCCTATGCTTGAGCTGCAATACAACTGACCAAGAAGTGGGGGAGGCAGGTGCACGGTAAGACAGCGTTGTCTGTTTCTTCCACTTGCTCTGTGGAAGAAACGGAAAAGAAAGAAAACCTCCATGGCTGTCAATCAAATGAGTCTTCCTCCAAAAGTACAGATTTCTTATGAAATTGGCCCTTGATAAACTATCACAACGCATTTCAGGTTTGTGTGTATGGAGTGCTCCTTTAACCTGGGACTGAATGTCTCAAATATTTTACTGACTGTTTGAGAGTTCCACTACTTTAATATCAGCATAAAGCAACAAGTAACAATTTTCTCCTAATGAGAACTCACATTCTGCCATGTATGAAATTACCTCTTTCTTGAGTACAGTCTACTTTTGGCCATAATCAAACTGTTCGGGTTATCGTTTAATGAAATGTACTGTGCCATATTTGTGAACATAACTAAACAACTGCATTTTAGAAATGTGTTTTAGCAGTTAGGAACACTGCAATCAATGGCGGGTATGCTGGCATGCTCAGAGATCAATGTACACGGTGATACAGCTCAAATAAGCCATTTTACTCAAAAATAGTTCGATTCCGCCCTTCAGCGTGAATAAATCCATCTTTTTTTTACAAGAGCTCCTTGGAAGGAGTTTAGGACCCACAGTGGCATTACTCCTTCATTTAGAACCAGTGGGAGAATATATTAATAGCAACCTATTAAATTCTAATTGGAAAATGTAACACATCTGTCTCTCTGGGAAACTATTTATCTGGATGACATCTCTCTCCTTGTCTCAGGCCGCCTTGATCAAATTCCTCTCGGCTCAAAACCATGTACTTCTAGTGCCAGACAAATTACTTTTTTAAGGGACAAATTTGAAAAGCAATCTAATTCCCATTATTTATTTTTTTCTATTTCATCACAGTAAATACTAATGTCGAGCTTGGTTCTGTTTAACCTCAAGGTACACATTGTATAAAATAAACTTCTGTAACTGAGTAAACTTGCAGAAGCCAGACACAGAGAGTTGGATGCAGGTTTTCAGGAAGTAGGAGGTCTTTATTAACATACCGATCGGGCCTCAGATGAACTAACGTTCCAAAACAGGTCTGAGGGCCGAACACATGGAGTACATGCTTTTTATAGAACTATAACTCCTCCCATTAATAGCTCCACCCGCACATACCCTTAACCAATCAGTGGACAGGATTTGGATTTCCTCATATGGGCAGACCACATGGATTATCCGAAACAAAAGAGAAAGGAGTGTGATTTTAGTTCCTGCATTCTTGCACATGCTCAGTACATTGATGACAGTATCTTAGCTACGTGTAACTAACTAACTGATACAACATACACATATGCCACATGGAAATCTCGGCCTACTAAATTTACAATCCGAAATTCCATCACATTCCCCCCTTTGATGCCTCTGATACAAAATTATTCCAGATGCATCACCAATCATAGTTTACCAACACCTCTCAAGTAGCCATTGGACCAGAGCAGACCTTGTAAGCATCCTAGCATCATCACAAACTCCTTCAGCATTCCTCATCCTGAATATGTTCTCTTTGGGCTAGGGATTCATATCTATAGACAGCCATTACATGAGCAGCTGTCTTTCTTTCTATAGTACTCTCTATGATACTATGTATAGATCTGACCACTAATGGAATTAGGCAGGGCAGAAAGAGACATAAGAATATAATAAATACTACTCCTCCTACTAACGCCTTAAATATATATATACACAAACAGCCAACACACACAAGCACATTATTCCCTCCCCCCAGATCACTTACGTCAGTGCTAGTCATTAAGGAAATAGGGAGCAGTGATCAGCATCATGCGTGTATCTACAGGGAAGCAAGGGAGGAGGTCCTGCATAAGAACAGGCAGAGGTTACAGAATATAACCTTATATCTTAGTGCCCTCTGAATCTTTAAAGCAGAACTGTTTTTTTTGTTTGTTTTTTTCCTTTTCAGTTTTCCTTTCCTTGTGCCCCTTCTATCTTAATGATTAGATTCCCCTTCCTCCCCTGCCACATGTCTTTATTACCTTTTCTTACTTGTGCTGAATCTTAATACCAGGGTGCAGCCATACCTATGATGTCTGCTATTTGCACTTTTGTGCAACGGATTATGGGCACAGTTTTACTGTCATTTCAAACTGAACGTTTCTTATCCTCTGCCCATAGTCCATTCTTTTCATTGTGCATTTTATGAAAACTAGATTACAAAATATAAGACCTGTATAGAAACAGACTAGATAGAGTTTATTTTTGGTGACAGTTTAATATACTCTCTAGATCCTGTCTAGGAGGAGGTTTTCTACCATATATTTAAGATCCTCAATCCTTTAACCTTTTATATCATGTGTGGCTCTTTAGAAGCCACAAATCATCTTCTGTGAGTAGGTGATTTGAAATTTCCTATAGATGGCGCTTCTGATTTTTTTATACCACTCATGCCCTCTAGGAAAAAAAAGTAAATTGCTTGCTGTTATTACTTTCATAACCTAGGCTTCCCGTTTCCTTTTTTCTTTTAAAAAAATCATAAAATCATACAACTCGTCTGTTACATTCAAACAGCAGGAAAACTAAAAGAACAAACAAGCAATAAAGGCGCTGAAAGTGCTAATATAAAATATAAAGATAATGAAAGTGTAGCAGCACCTAAAAGTGTACAAGCTCATAAAACACCATACATAAAATCCAAAAAATAAAAATAGGTGCGCTGTATCTTTAAATGTTAAAAAGTGTACAAGCTCATAAAACACCATACATAAAATCCAAAAAATAAAAATAGGTGCGCTGTATCTTTAAATGTTAAAAAGTGTACAAGCTCATAAAACACCATACATAAAATCCAAAAAATAAAAATAGGTGCGCTGTATCTTTAAATGTTAAAAAGTGTGCTCATAAAACACCATACATAAAATCCAAAAAATAAAAATAGGTGCGCTGTATGTTTAAATGTTAAAAAGTGGCTCATAAAACACCATACATAAAATCCAAAAAATAAAAATAGGTGCGCTGTATCTTTAAATGTTAAAAAGTGTTAAAACAAAAAAAGTGTTAAAACACCATACATAAAATCCAAAAAATAAAAATAGGTGCGCTGTAAATGTTAAACATTTAAAGATACAGCGCACCTATTTTTACATTCAAACAGCATGCAGATGCGTATAGCTTAAAGGAACACTATAGTCACCTAAATTACTTTAGCTAAATAAAGCAGTTTTAGTGTATAGATCATTCTCCTGCAATTTCACTGCTCAATTCACTGTCATTTATGAGTTAAATCACTTTGTTTCTGTTTATGCAGCCCTAGCCACACCTCCCCTGGTTATGATTGACAGAGCCTGCGTTAAAACACAAACTGGTTTCACTTTCAAACAGATGTAATTTACCTTAAATAATTGTATCTCAATCTATAAATTGAACTTTAATCACATAAAGGAGGCTCTTGCAGGGTCTAGCAAGCTATTAGCATATCAGGGGATAAGAAAATCTTAATTAAACAGAACTTGCAATAAAGAAAGCCTAAATAGGGCTCTCTTTACAGGAAGTGTTTATGGAAGGCTGTGCAAGTCACATGCAGGGAGGTGTGACTAGGGTTCATAAACAAAGGGATTTAACTCCTAAATGGCAGAGGATTGAGCAGTGAGGCTGCAGGGGCATGTTCTATACACCAAAACTGCTTCATTAAGCTAAAGTTGTTCAGGTGACTATAGTGTCCCTTTAAATTAAATAATCTGTTGGGATTATAGTTTTAAACAGATTTAAATTAGAAAATGTTTGTCACAGCCAATTTGATTATAAAGTCATTCAGTTGTTGGTCAAATGAGAGTTCTCAAAATGGCCACAAAGCAGCATAATGTATTCGTATTGCTTTAAATTTCAGTGACAGAAATGACATGATAATTTTATAAAAAAGGTTGTTGAGATTAACAGTAGTGTGCAAATACAAACATATTGGTTTCGTGATAACAGCAGATATTAGATTTATGGGTGTTTTGCTGTGTTTACGGTCAGTCATTTCTTGTATCCCAATATAGAAAGAAAAATTTACATTTCTCAATGACACAAATGTTAAGGACAAGGAGGTCAAACAATGCAATCTTGTACGCAGATGGATTTAAGACAAAAAAAATTGTTAAAAAGATAGCGGATACATATTAACAATTTAAGTGGACATGCCATGGTACAAAGTTTATTTAAATTATTATGTATTATAATATATAAGTAAAGATAATCACATTACAACTATATCTTGCATATTTTTCTGTTGATCAATTCTCGTATCTATGCCAAAAACAGAGTGTAAGGAAAGAGCAAGCTCTCATTCACAGCAACTACAATGCATGCATATTTCTCTAGTGAACATGCTGTGCTCTTCCTAGGGAAATATAAGTAAGGGATGATAGATGTAACCTTGCTCTGACTCCAATAACATGGCAATAAAGCCAGACCTTCCAAATATCTTGAACATAATCTGGGGCATCTGTCCTTTTGTTTCACATTTGTTCTCTGGTGCTCTCCATCTGGGTATGCCAATGAAATATGTCCAATAAAAGCAGCGCAAGTTTACCATTAAAAGCACTCATACTGTTGAAAACTGTAGTCAG